AAGCAACGAACGGTGAGATAAGTAACCGGGATATTCGGAGCGTGGGTAGCTTTCGTTGAGCGATGGGGAACCGATGCGGATCGTTGAGCTCTCCAGTGCGACCCGACGCCAATCCGACCCAACAATTCGCTGTTTAGGTGGTGTACTACATAGCTGTACATGGAATCGCAAAAGCAAACATGAGCATACTCGTAATAGAGAAAGTGACTTTCGGAGAGTACTTGGAGGCAAAAGCAATGCTAGACCCCTCGCCCGGTACATGGCCGCGGATGGGAAGCAGCTGCGGGACATGGCTCTTCCGCCAAGTGGCCGATAGCCTCAGGGACAACCCCAATTATAGCGCGCCCGGACGGCGGTCAACCAGCAACACAGACCACCTCGCAAGCTTATACCGTTTTTCTATGCATCCCTTTCCTCGCTTTGCTCACACACTTGATACTACTCACATTTGCGACGGAGCACCCTTTTGCCTTGGTCAGGCCGCATATCTTCGACAAGAGAATCCCAGAGAATGAGCTCCACACCTGCGACGGGCGTCCCCAGCATGGCGAGGAACGGCCCGCCATCGCTCGAGAAGAAGCCGGTCAAGTTTAGCAATCTGTTGCGTGAGTCTGCGTGCTGATGGAGAGCGGGAATGTGTGCTGACTGTAGGCGCAGTTGGTGCTGGTCTCAACATGTTTGAGTAAGTAAACATCCCACTTCACCACCAAGATAGCAATTGAAGCTGACTGAAGATGACAGAGTGACAACTCTGGGACAGGTATGCAATTTCAGGCAACAAACTTCGCCGGAAGCACACTAACGACCGATGATAGCCGTTGGAGGTCGTCAAGACTACCATGGCTGCCAACAGGTCTGAAGGCTTCTCGGGAGCCATTGGTCGCATCTGGGCGCGTGGAGGTGTTCTTGGATGTCAGTATGCGTTCTACAGTTTCCGGACAATCCCGCTAACAATCGTACAGTCTACCAGGGTCTCATTCCATGGGCCTGGATCGAAGCCTCCACCAAAGGAGCCGTCCTTCTCTTCGTCGCTTCCGAAGCCGAATACTACGCCAAGTCATTCGGCGCCCCCGACTTTCTCGCCGGTATCTCTGGTGGTATGACGGGTGGTCTCGCTCAAGCCTATGCTACCATGGGTTTCTGCACTTGCATGAAGACGGTCGAGATTACAAAGCACAAGGTCGCAGCCACCGGTGCGAAGCCTCCGGGTACGCTCGAGACATTCATGGGCATCTGGCGCGCGGAGGGTCTCCGCGGTATCAACCGTGGTGTCAACGCTGTCGCGGTGCGCCAGGTCACAAACTGGGGATCCCGTTTCGGTCTGTCTCGTGTTGCGGAAACTGGTATTCGCAAGGTTATGGACAAGCAGCACGGCGAGAAGCTCAGCGTGATTGAGAAGATCACCGCTTCAGCTCTCGGTGGTGGTTTGAGCGCGTGGAACCAGCCTATTGAGGTTATCCGCGTGGAGCTTCAGTCCAAGACTGTTGACCCCAACCGCCCCAAGAACCTGAATGTTGCATCTGCGTTCAAGTACATCTACTCGAACAACGGTATCAAGGGTCTTTACCGTGGCGTTACTCCTAGAATCGGTCTTGGCGTTTGGCAGACGGTCTGCATGGTTGCTCTGGGCGATGTGTAAGTTTTGACGATACCGCTTTTCAAATCTCCGCTAACGAGTCTCTAGTGCCAAGGAGGCTGTTGAGAAGCTCACTGGTGACAAGGTCACCGCAAAGCATTAGACGGCGTTCGGATACTGGATCTAACGGGGTTGATGTTCTATGAAAGATCTATGCAAGTGGTCTGGCATCGGCCGTGGTCTTGGGACGAGAAAGCATGACGAGAGACATATATAACTATGACGTTCATAGCGCTATAAGATTATAATACCGAATAGGGCTGAAAGTCTCGTGACATTGAGGCCTATTTTCAACCGCTGGTCCCTGAGCACGAACTGTGAACTGTGTGTTGAGTATAACCCCTCTTCCGTGAGAGACTTATTTTCCGTGCCCGCTTCTTCTTTTTATACTCGAGCAGTCACCTTATACAAGGCAAAAAATAAACACTCTAGAGTCTACATTGAGATAAAAACATGCAAAGTAGGTGTCCCAACGACAACGTAGGCTCTAGGGTGTTTTTCCCTTGTATGAGGTACAGTGGTGAATGCACTAGCACGTGGTACACGTCCAGCCGCGGGCCGTACCTACCTTGGTAGGATGGCGCTAGCTCACGTCACAACCAACCACCACAAGCTCTCTCTCCGACACAAACTTCGCATCATTAATACCACGCTTGGAGCAAGAATGCGGTATTCACCATGTCCTCACATATCGCCTGTATACCAACGGGTGATCACCACGGAGAAAAACGGGTGAGTTGCATGCGTGCCCACGAGCTACTGAGTCGCTGTGAGCATGGCGAGAGCCTACCATGGCCTTAGCGCAACATAGTCATACAGTTTCCGTTCAGAACCTGCCGACCCATTGATATTCTAATTTCTAAGATTGCCGCTGACCAGGAGTAGTTCGCCGATGGTGTCGCGCCTCCAGATTTGCGAGATTGGCGTTGCGACTTGACGGGCCTTTCGCATCAACATAATCTCTACTTTCTTGCCTCTGTCGATGAGCTTCATGTCTATCAACCAAGCTTTCCAGACCAAGGTTTATCTGATAAACCTGAGCTTGTGTTACATCCGCCAAAATCTGGCACTCGTGGGTATGGAATTGACCCGTCGAATCCTCACTCTATCTGTCGCATCTTGGTCGATTATGTCGGCAACGAGGAGATGCTTATGCTGGCCTGCGACGATGGGGACGTTATTATATATCGAACTCGAGAGATACACCGAGCGTTGGAACGGCGCACCAACGTGCAGGAGCCTGCTGACGAGGACGGTGTCCATGTGTTTCTCCACTGCAATGTCGGTAGAAGTGCATGGGGCTTGGCTGTACAGCGCAAGACTCGTATGATCGCGATTAGTGCGGTATGACAACCTTGATTTCTCACACGCTCTACTCCTCTAACCTCAACAGAACACTCATCAGATAACGATAGTCGCATTCGCGCTCGCTTCCGATAGCGAATTGGAAGCCCCAGACCACGGTACCAACCCTGGTTTCCCATACAGCAGAAGAGAGGACAGTATCTTTACCCTTCAAGCGACAAACAATGTTCCCGCAGTATCATTCTACGGTGACTCCGGTCGCTGGCTTCTGAGCAGCTGCATTGATGGCAAGACATCGATGTGGGATTTGTACACCAAGAGAGAGGTGGCTACATTCCAGTTAGGCTGGTGCGCCAGCGCAAGCGATCTCTCGAAGCCGCCTCGTTACATATCTCACAGATTCCTGTGCGACTGTCCGGGCGCGCAAAATGTTCTCCACGGGGCATGGGGTACTATAGCGCTGGACACGCGATCCGCATACGAGTTACCGTTAGACGAAGGCAAGACTGCGAGTTCGACATGTAGCTCGAGCGACTTCCTAGATATCTCCGACCAGAAGAAACGGTTCAAAGTTTCCGAAACCACCTCTCATCAATACCATCCCGACACAGACGACGAAGAGGACAGTACAGATGACGAAGAAATCGAAGTAGTCAGTGAAGCGAACGAGACAAACAACGAGGAAGAAGATATTGATCCGAATCACCAGCTTCTCGGAATGACCTTTGAGGAGTTGGCTCAATCTGTAAGTGTAGTCTCTACTGTACCTTTTGCAACATATAAAGCAATCTCTTGTCGGCTGTATCCAATCAGAACGTAGCCAGAGGGTATAGCCACGCCAACCTGGGGAAAAACTGAACATCCTGGAGCCTACGTTGATGTTGGGTCACCTACTTTGCATGGTTTTGGGTCTATGTAGTCTGCAGACCTTTTCAAATTTTTTCTTGTATGAGGTGCAGCATTACGAGGAGCAAATCTCCTCTTCGTTCATATTTGAAGTTAAAGACACGTTAGGTGACTAACATACAGCGCAGTTTGGTATAAGTGAGACGCTGTTGTCTTCCATTCGACCCGGAACATTGCGCAGCCCTAACAGAGCGCCGTATCGCCTGATCGATGACTTGAGGCCTATCGCAGAACAGATGGGTGGCCCATTCTTAATCTTCACCAAAGAGGACATATTCCTCGTCCAAGGCCTTTCCGCAACATCACTCAATGTGCCTCTCAAGCCCATCGTCGCGATAAGACGACCGCTACATCCAGAGCGATGGGTAGACTCCCTCATGTCTTGCGACCGACACTGCTTCTTCTCCCAGATACCCGAGCTGGGCATCTTCATAGTCGGATCTCCGGCCGGTCGTGTCGGCGTCTTCAGTCTGTACTATACTAGAGACAAGGACACTGGGGAGCCGCGGTATGGCTTCAATCTTGAATACCTTCTCCCGTTTCGGTCAGGCAATGAGACGGAGATAGCAGGAGGGCCGAATGAACGGCTGCTTGGTGTGGCTGTAGCGCCTATACAAGGTAAGATGATGATGATGACTACTTCCACGTGTATCGTAGGGCTCACAGGTATACAGGCATGTTTGACCCTTCAGAGGATATCGAAGTACCTGATCAAGAGGGGTTCACTAAGCCTCGCCGATGGCGCTTATTGATGTACTACATGGATCATACTGTATTGAGCTTTGAGTTATCGAAGCGGACGGTGGGTGAGTCGCCAAGCTTGGATGATATGGTCGTTTAGTACCCCAACCTAAGAAAAATCTAAACAGGTCTGCAGCCTACATTGATATAAAAACACGCAATATAGGTGGCCTGAGGTCGATGTAGACTCCAGGCCTGTTAGGATTCTTGCTTGTTTGGGATGCTGGTATCGATTTCATGAGCACATGCTACGTACTTTCCCGCTGGGTATCATCCGATGCCCTCGTCGTGGGGCCAAATTAAAATCATGGTATTTCGCTGGAATGACGCGCCTAGCTCATTATACCCAAAGTCATCAACATGACGTTTAACACGCCGTTCAACTGATATGAGTTTTTTGGCAGTAAGCCCACTACTCTCCTAGCCTCAAGTACGCTTCCAGCACCCTCCTCCTCGCCCTCACCTCCAACCTCTCCGTAGCCAAATCCTCGCTCTCTTCATCATCATCCGTTTCATCAGCCTCAGTCTGCTCAATCATGCTCCTCAATTTCTCCGATGTCACGCCATCAGCGGGTACACCTTTCTTGAGCAACCGTTTCACATTCTCCTTCATACGTGTATCGTTCATACATAGATACAACGTCTCAAGACGCGCAAAGGGGCGCAAGTAGGAACCGATGAGCGCGTAAGAGTCCAGACCCGAGTACGAGATAACGAGGCGCTGAATGCGGGATAGACTGGCCTGCGGCAGGATAGAAGACAATGTTGTGAGCCGAACTGTCTCAGTGGTATTGCACGCAGCTGTAAATCTCGCACTCAACCAGATGATATCCCTGTCGAAATTGAAGTAGAACTCCTTCTCCTGTTCTTCCCCGCCGATCTTTCGGCCGTAAAAAGAGAATAAAGCGGTAAAGCTCTCCGAAGTGAAACTAACGAGTTCTCCACCTTCATGTGCAATGCTGAAGTTTCTGGCTTCTTGGTTGGTGGAGAAGAGCGGTGGGAGTGGGGGAATGTAGCGGAGACGCGGGATGTGGTCGATGGTGTTGTAGGTGTGGAGTTCGAGGAAATGGGTTCGCGGGGCGGGAGCGGCGTAGGACCAGATTAGTGCGCGGAGAGTGGGAGGGAGGCCGGTGAATGTTGGGGTAGTGGGAGACGTTTGGGTTGTAGTCTTGATAGGGTTGGGGTTGATGTGTAGGTTTACGGTGTCGATGGCGTTGTACTGGTCAGACTGCGTGTTGGGAGGCGGTACTGGTGGGCTGTTGATGTCGACGCCGCTGTCTTGTGGAGCGTCTTCGCTATCAATGGACATGGCGCACGAGCTTAGGCTGCCAAAGCTTTGACCGGGAGAGTCGGTTGTCATGATAGAATCTTCGAATGGCTCTTTCTTCTTCTTAATATTCATCATAGTCCCGAAGGACCTCTTCAGCGATTCGAGCGCCATCCTTCGCGGTTAAGATTGCAAGGTCGGGTAGGTGTTGTGCTTGTGTTGTGGAGTGGTATCAGAACCGGAAGGCTGTAGGCAGCTAACGGCAGAGCTGTTTGCGTCGGGATCGCGAAGCCAAGTGAGCGTTTGTTCGAGTTGGCGAGGTAGCAAACGCATCGGTGACAACATGTGACTCCAGGACTTAGGCCGCTATCACAGGCGAGTATTGCTGGTTTCGTACCCTTCTTCACATTCACCTACGGTGCTGAGTATACTGTAAAAGTTAGCCCGAGTGTATCCGAGTCGATGTCGGTTCCTTGACTTACTCGAAAGCTGCTATCAGATCATCGCCATCGTACCTACTAACGGTTCTCGGCTGTTTCCAAGGCATTTCATTCGACCTTTTGGCGGCTAGATACTTGTTTGGTGGAGCCATTGGTGTAACGAACAGTTTCACTCCCTCGTAAAGCGACCCATGCACTTTGGCAATGAACTCGTCGAGCGCGTCTTGTGTTAGAAACGATACCCACCATATCCTTTTTCTGTCTCTTGCCAAGTTTACATCAATTGCATCGAGACCCACAGCAAGTAACCCATGATAAGGAGCGCAGAAATCCGCTAAACCGTTTGGTGTTTGCAAAGGCAGTTTACTTCCATCCCACGCGGTAATACGCGCATTTCGTTTCCCACTATATTCATCATACTTCTTGTGTGGGAGACGTGATAAGCGGCAAATGCTCGGTTCGGGGAGTTCATACAAAACCCTTCCAGAAAAGAGTGCGGAAAGAACGGCCAGGAATTTGACGGCATCGGCAGCCGCCCCATGTTTCTCATGCCTGGATCGCCATCCACTTATTTTCAGAGCTTTCATGACTCGATCTAGACTGGGCTGACGATATCGAGGAAGTAATTTGTCGGGTTCGGCGGTCATGCTCTTGTAGGAATCGGCGACAAGCTCTTGTATATCGCACCAAGAAGTGAACAGTGCTGCGATGGCCGGGTACTCATCGCTGATCCATTTGAATTCCCTCTGCATGCCAAAACCAACCAATATAAGTTCGCCTTGGATGGAGGACAAGAATTTGTATAGTCTCGCGCCGGCACTTTCCCTGGTCTCGTTGGCCATGGTTCCAACAATAGGCCAGTATCGTCGTTCTCGTATACGAATGGTAAATGCCTCGATATCGTTTTGATTCCAGAAGTAGTACATAGAGGAGGAGAAGCGAAGTGGCTTTGAATTAGGACGTAATACTGCGACTCCAAGCTCACTCGCCTCTGAACCACGCTGGTTGACTCCCTCTATATCGAATGCTACCACCGTAACTTCAGCAAGGCGGTCTTGGATGCTAGCAAGGCCTCGAAGTTCCGACTTGAGCAGTGGCTGCACATCGCGGTTCTTGACGAAGCCATAAATACCCTGTTTGTTGGGCTTCATCTTGTATTGTAGACACGAGTTGTTTTCAGGTAGAGGTTTGTAGAGACGTAAGTCCAAAAGATGGATGAGTAATGGTTGGAGAAGGCTGTGGGCAGCATATAGAAAAATATAGTGTATGCTTTCTTGCGACGGTCGTACCATGGTTGGGCGTGGCTGACTGAGGCCAACAGGAAGACCTCTACTGGACGACCAAAATTTCTTGTGGCAGCGACATTTCATTCTTCCACAATGATTTCCGACTTCCAAAAGACCCACGCGAAGACAGCCAAGAGCTTCAGTCCACAAGCAGTCCACAAGGCACCTGCAAGACCTACACTGCTGTGCGCGTACAATCCACCAATGCAGGCTCCCAACAGCAGCATCGCGGGCGCAGCGATCCTCCTGTTGCGCTCCACATTCGAAATCTTGAACAGCTGAGGGTCAGAAAAGAGATCGCAGTAGTTGCTCGTAAGCACGACACTGGTCAGGCCGTTGTACTTCAGGGCGCGCGACGTGACTGCCTGGCCACTGGATTGGAAAGCGACCGAAGCGAGTGGAACAATCATTTGCCAATGAAGACCTTCCTTGGTGTCTTTCCCGACAGTAGCGATCAATGCAGCGACAGCAATGAGTAGCATCTGGAATGTGTAGGATACGATGAGCACCCATCTCTTGGCAGGTGAGAAGTAGCGATGAAAGCGCGCGAAGCAGAACGAGCCAGCACAGAACGCGACAATGGACGTCAATGCCTTGATCCAACGGATGCCCTCAGAAGGTGCGACAATGCCCAAGCCAAGATACACGGTGTTACCTGTATGTTGAGTAAGCTTCTGGTCCAAAAGAGATGGCGCGTCTTACTCACCCGTCTGCATGCTCACGAAAGAGCCCCATATGAAGACAGCCGAGCTATCCAGTAGCCCAGTAACAATGTAACAATACAGCAAAACAAGATCTGCCCAGTTCTTGTTAACATCGGCATTCATGTGCCGTTTGAGCCGCTGCATAGTCCCCTTGCTGTCCGATTTTCCGCCGGCTGGTCCATTTCGGCCGAGAAGCGGCGTTTCCTCGTCTGCGCCGCTGCGCGTGGCGTCTCTGCGCGTTACGCTGCTCATGGTTGCACGTGTGGGATGAGATCGTGTAGTCGTATATTGCGAGGGCTGCGAGGACCGGTAGTTATGTCAGTTGGGGCGGGGTGCAGATAATCGCGTCAGCACAACCGGGAAGACGCGAGCCAGCGTGCAGATCGACAGGCACTTCGACTCAAGCTTCAGTTAAGCTTTCGACGCCCGCGGCGGCAATTGCAGGATATCTCAGGACGTGTGGCTTGAAGACCTTCCTGATGTGGCTGTACACGTACAAGCAATGCGTCTGATGTGCGGGGAAACGGTTTTGGTGGGTATGGTGCGTGGAAAAATGGTGATTGATGCGCGGAGATGGCGTGGGAGTGGATGGTTGATTGCTTAGTGTCAAGCAAGCATCATAAATAATCATGGCTAGAACTGTCGTCATCGGCACACGGCATTGCAGGACGCGCAATGCACGCGGCATGTCAAAAGGGCGTCGCCTGCCGGGTGAATAAACTTTCGACTTCGCGATCCTCTTCAGCTTCTTCACTTGAGGTCAATTGAAGCCGTCATGCATCTTCCGTCTCTACTGGTCGCGCTTGGCGTATGTGGTGCTGTGGCTGCGCCATTGGAGCAACAACAGCCGCTGGCTGGCAGTGCGCGACACCACGCAGGACCCAACAAAGTCTTCAATCCGTACAAGCCTGGCAACAATGATCCATTTGACAAGAAGATTGATTCGCAAGGTGACAAGCTTCAGCCACTACCCTACGTGAGTCCATCATTGAGATGATTCCTCCGCGGAACGACGAATATCTAGCTCGATGATGGTCAACATGCTAACAAAGTTTCCAGCGCAATGGTGACGGAGCGAGTGTTCTAGGGCCTCGCAACCGAGCGCGCGAACGACAAAACCCAGATCTCGTCCGCCCACCCAGCACCGACCATGGCGCGATCCCCAACATGCGATGGTCCTTTGCCGACTCGCATATCCGCATCGAGGAGGGTGGCTGGACGCGCGAGACGACTGTCCGCGAGCTGGGTACTAGCAAGGAGCTAGCCGGCGTGAACATGCGTCTTGAGGAAGGCGTCATTCGTGAACTCCACTGGCACAAGGAAGCCGAATGGGCATATGTCCTCGAAGGCAAGGTCCGCATCACTGCTCTCGATCCTGAAGGTGGCTCTTTCGTCGATGACCTAGAGAAGGGTGACCTATGGTACTTCCCCTCTGGCCATCCTCACTCGCTGCAAGGCCTGAGCCCCAACGGCACCGAGTTCCTACTCGTGTTCGACGATGGCAACTTCTCTGAAGACTCTACCTTCCTGCTCACCGACTGGATGAGACTCACGCCCAAGTCCGTCTTGGGTGAGAACTTCCGCGTTTCGCCAGAAGTCTTCAAGGCGATCCCCGAGAAGGAAAAGTACATCTTCCAGGGCTCAGAGCCAGGTCCCATCGACGATGAGGTTCCAAGTGGCGGCAAGGGATACAAGAAGTCGAAGATTCAGTTCACCCACAAGATGCTTGCTCAGGAGCCTGTCAACACAACTGGTGGTCAAGTTCGCATCACCGATTCGACAAACTTCCCCATCTCCAAGACTGTCGCTGCAGCACACTTGAGCATTCAACCTGGCGCAATCCGTGAGATGCATTGGCACCGTAAGTCACTCACTTACCCATCCTTCGTTCCAAACTAACTCTGTACCACAGCCAACGCAGACGAATGGTCCTTCTTCATCGCTGGCCGCGCCCGCGTGACAATCTTCGCCGCCAAAGGCACAGCGCGCACATTCGACTTCCAAGCCGGCGACGTAGGCGTTATCCCTCGCAACATGGGCCACTTCATCGAGAACCTGTCTGACGATGAGGACGTCGAGGTGCTCGAAATTTTCCGTACAGACAAGTACCAGGACTTTAGCTTGTTCCAGTGGCTTGGCGAGACGCCGCAGAGACTTGTCAGGGAACACTTGTTTGCGAATAGTCCTAAAGAGGCGGAAGAATTTGCCAAGGCTATTCGCGATGCCGAAGAAGATCCTATTAAGGATACAGAGGTCGATGAGGAGGATAAGGAGGAGTTGTAGGATGGGCGTGGTTATGGAAGGCACTGAGATGCGGTAGATGGGAGATGGACTGGATTCTTGACGCTGAGGATGAGGAGGCTGAGCGACTGCTCGTGGGTAGCTTTACACTTGTAATACAGTTTCGCCACACCTACCGAAGCTACAAGTTCGATCGATTTATGCACGTGGGTTCCACGTTGAGAACAGAAGATATGACCACTTCAGTCTTGAACAAGGAACCCACGCGCATCTGTCGGTTGAGGTTGGAGTATTAGTTGGCTCGTCCCAATTCCATGGTCAGATGAACTCATACACATGGTCAGCTTAGCTCTACTTATGGCCAGCTTAGCTCTAGTCAAGGTCAGCCCAGCTCTTAGCGATGGTCGGGTGAACTCTTAGTCTCGATCGTTCGGGGATGACCCTAGCCTATCAGGTCTTAGTCATGGTCTGATGAGCTACTAGTCATGGCCGGATGAACTGCT